CGCGGAGACTCAGGCCTCGCTCTCCTCCCGGCCGTCCAGCGATGGCCCTGCCTGCGCCGTCGCGCTCTCCGCACTCTCCTTTTCACCTCCCCCGACCGGCAGCCGAGGAGCGGACGGGCAGCGGCACGCCCATTGGCTGCGGGCCGCGCTCGCGTCAGCCAGCCCCGGCCCGAGCCTCGAGATGTTACTGGCTGGCGCGGCGCCTCTTTTCCACGTCGGGTTGGGATTGGTTTCCTCGCGCCCCTTACCGGGAGCACCGCTCACCCTCCTCCCGGCTCGGGCCCCCAGCCTCTCCCGGAGCCTGTTTTCCATCTGGGCCGGAGAGGGGTGGGAGCACGAGCGGTGGGGTCGCGAACGGCCAATGAGGGGGCGGGAAGAGGCCGGGAGGTGGGCTCTGCGGCCGGCCGGCCCGCAGGGGGAAAGCGCAGCCAATGGGCAAGCCCCCTACATCCTGGGCTCGGCAGCGCCCCCTCTGGCCGCCCGGCGCCGGACCGGTCGCACCCGCGGCCACGCCCGACTCTTGGAGCGCGGAAGGGGCGCCCACTTACGAGGTGGGGTGGCTGCAGCGAGGCGGCGCGGGCCATCGTGGGGTAGCCATTGTGTCGTGCTCAGACTCTGCCTACGTGGGGCCTGGCGGTTCTTTTAAGGGGCTCCTCGGGCTACTCGCAGTTGTTAGGGACCCGCCCAGGGTACTGCCTCCTAGATGGGCTTCGTTCCGGTACAAGTGGTCGCTCTGTTAGCCCTGGAGCCCAGGAGGAAGGACCCCTAGCCTGTGCCTTCCCCAACCCTAAGCAACTCTTGGCAAAATCTTTCCACCTTCTACTTCCTCCAAAGTAATTTACCAAACTAATCCACTGTGAGAGAAGTACAAACACTGGTTGGGGGGAGAAGGGATATGTTCACAGGAACACATGCCTACTTCACTTCGATTGCCATTGTTACATTATTGTGCTGATTTGTAATCGTATGTGGGTCGCTATGAATCAGAATTGACCTGTGTGCAGTGAGTTTGGTTTAGGAACCCGAACCGACCCCAAAGCACACGTCAGCATGGTCATGATGTGTACAATGTAAAATGTACAGATTTGCCTCAAAAACAGAAGGAACCGAAGGAGCTGAAAACGTTCTTGATATCAACGTTGTAAGGTTGTAGTTACAGATACGTATACGAGTAGACATGTACAAAGTAAACACTTTATGGCCGAAATATTGGCCGTTCAAATCCACAAGCCATTCTGTGGCAGAGAGAAGTAAGGCACGGGGTTTCTATAAACATTTCCAGCGCCGAAAAACTAATTTGTTCTGTTGGCACATAAGTGTCAGAATGGACCCCACCATGAGTTTGGTTTGGGCTTTTACACAGGCAAAAACTCATTAAGATGGACATTGAAGAGGTGTGGACTCTTCACTGTATGTAGAGAGCTCTATGCTCTGAAAGTATAGTAAAAGACGGATTGTGAGTATTCATGATGAAAGTAAATTTCTCAGACAAGGCATGTAGAACACACAGATGAGTGCTTAGGGGATGGGCCAGGATGGTTCCAAGTGGTTTTCCTATGGGTACTTCCAGCCAGTTTGAGCCCCAGGTCTGAGTGACACAAAAGTACCCGTAGCTGTACCCAACTGGAAAAGTTTACTAAATTAATTACCTGTGAAGTAGCAGGCCTAAATTCTGATCTTTAATGTGAGTACCACAGTTTCTTCACAGAGAACCCACAGTCCACCCCTAAGTGCTATCACTTCTGGAGGATAGCACAGTAGACAAAGCTAAGGTGACTGCTCAGGTAGGCCAGAAGGGTATTCCTGTCAGTAGACAGTCTAGGACAAAACTGAGAGCATAAACATACCTGATTTATCATTGTGAGTGTAATGTGCCTCCAGCAAGGAACCCTAGCAGATGGGCAGAGCGCTTTCTGCAGAAAGACTTAAAACGTAAAGATGAAATATTGGCTCTCTCCAACACAATATAAGCTCATGGCTAGAGCAAGTCCTATGGCAAGAATACCCCATAATGTACTATCCTTCTTAAATTCAGATTTATACATCTGTAAAAAGTAAGTAATGGCTTTCATAGAATGCAATCAAGTTTGTAACAAAATCTAATCCAGAAAGTGTAGTGACACCCCAAACAGTATTATTAACTTTAACTGCTTTTCCCATTTTTCTTCAACAAAAACTATGAAAGTTGAGCTGCCGTGTATTAGGATTGACTGCATTGTAACTTTTTCAAACATCAGATACCTTTATTTGTTTCTAACCCCAAAGCCAAACCCTTTGAAACCGAGTTGATTCTGACTCCAGGTGACCCTGTGAGGTAGACTTGCCCTTACAGGTGCCCAAGGCTATCAATCTTTACAGAAGTTGCCATGTTTGTCTGGAAGAATAATCGGTTGGTTAATCGGCACACTTTCTAGCAAGCAG